ATCTATCTATCTATCATCTATCTTCTATCTATCATCTATCTATCTATCTATCTATCTATCTATCTATCTATCTATCTATCTATCTACTATCTATCTATCTATCTATCTATCATCATAATCTATCTATCATCTATCATCTATCTTATCTATCATCTATTTATCAATAGATTTATCTATTTATCTAGTGACTATTTTTTAAGCAAACCAGCTTTACTTAATTTCTATATTAAGCCACATTTTGTGGTTGACTCGTGATGCCAATGCCTGCATCCCAGCCACACCCACTTAGGGACAGGCCACGATAATAGGGCATCTGAGAGGAGGAGAAGTGCTGACCCTGAGAATCAGAGCCACAAATTCTTGAAAAGCTGGGGAGGGAAACCAAAAACTCCTTTCTTTTAGACAGTCTTTCAAGCCTTCTTCTTTTATAGGATTCGGGGAATATTTTTGATTCTTTGAGGAAGATTTATCTTTTTATCTGAGGAAACATTTTAAAGCGTAGACCGGTCTAGCACCCGAGAATGCTCAAGGTGCCTTGCCGAGCGGAGCGCAGGGCTGTGTCCGAGCCACTGGCCTGCACCCAGCTGCCGTGGCCGAGGCCGAGGCTGGTCACATCCAAATCACCCACCAGCTCCTGTTTCCTTTTGTTCTCCTCTTCCCCTCCCTCGGGCCCCTCCTCCTGCTTTAATGAAATCAACCTCTATTCAATGACCAAAATGAAAAACTACCAAGCTTGCCTTTTCCCACACAAAACAAAACAGTAAAATTAGATGATTAAATGACCTAAATAGTGAATTCACTGCTTGCTCAATAAACACAATGCTTTGACTTAAAAAAAAAAAAAGTACTTTTTTCCCATGGTCATAGTTTGAGGAGAGAGATCTCTTATTCTTTCTAATGTGACTCTGCCTATATATTCAGAAAAACCTCAAGTGGTAATTTTATTTTTTCTGCTCTCGGTAACTGTCCAAGTTGTGGCCTAAGCCTTAATTGGCCCTAGTTGGTGTTTACTCCTGGCCAAATGTGCTTGTTGCTCAGCCCCAGGAGAAAGCCTGTGGGTGGCCACGTATTTGTTGAGTGAATGTTTCTTCTTGTAGGAAATGCTTGGGAATAACACCCCAGAATGGGGTGAATGAAATGGGCAATGGGGTGCTTTGATCTGCTTTCCAAAAAAAGGAAAAGAGAAAGTCCCTTTTCCAGGATAAATCCCTTTTCCGGGATAAAAGGGCTACTCTTCATAGAGCCTGGAGGGTGAATAGCAGCCCTTTTCCTGTGGAAGGGCCGTTCCACCCAATTACGGCCCCGACCGCGTTCACGGCATGGAAACACTTGTGCACTTACACACGCGGGCCCGGGGCCCGAGTCCAGGAACTGTTTGAATGAGCTGACGCATGTGTTGCGTGCAGCTGCAGAGTTACTACGTGTGACTGCGGTGTGTTCACCTGCGGGGACGGACTCCTCTGGGAAACACGGTCTCTGCTGAACGATGATGCAGAATATTTCTTTTCGTTTTATTTGTCCAAAATCAAACAGCTACTCTTTCAGCTCACCAGTATCTCGTAAGCCGGGTGCTGGCCCACACTGCTGCAGGGCTGGGACAAAGAGATGATGTTACAGTCTGGTTTCTATGGCAACAGAGGAGGCGTAATGAAAACCGAAATGTTGGAAACACCCCTTCTGACAATTGTGACATAATTCAGTTTATTACAAGGACGTAACTACCAAAGAGGGAGAAGTGTCATTACCTTGCAGCTCATGTCAGCAAAGAGCTACACTGCATATTTCTCTTAGTTGGACTGCTAAGAGGAAGGAAACATGAAACACACACACACACACACACGCACACGCCTCCTTTTCTGCATGTAAAATGTGTGTGTTCTTTAAAAGCCAGTGGTTGGCTGGTTTTCCGGACATGATGTGGTTGGAGCTGTCATCGTAATGGAAATTCATTGCCGTAGCTATGGTAAATCGAGTTTCTGCCTGTGCTGAATGCATTAGTCTAATGAGATGTGTGCAGCGGAGAGCAGGGCTGCCGGAGACTCACTGTGAGCTACTAACACGGGTGGAAGATTAGCTTTTGCAACACTCGGTTTGCATGTACCGAAAGTCTTCTGTCTTCCGAGTCAACATTCCCGGCCTGGTAAAGACCCCGATCAGGGCTCTGGTGAACGAGCTGTAGGTAAGGGAGACACACAATCGGAGGGTGTGCCGTGGACACGGGATCCTTCTCTTTCTACTGTCGGCACGACAGGCTACCTGTTTCAGTTTGTGTGGGTGTCATGCCTGCCTCTAGGGCACTGCATGAATGTTCTGCACTAAAACCACTGAGGGCGGCAGATAAACTTTAGCTCCTTCTACTCAAAATACAACGTTTGATTTCTTAAATCCCAGAGGGGAAGATGTAGTATAGAAGCATATAGTTTATAAATTCTGGGTATATACATGTTCACTACACTTTAACTCTGCATTTAAATATGTAGAAAGTTGTTCTCCCCCCCCCCAAATGTGAACTCAAATAACTGGTTAGATTTTTTTTTTTCTTCTATGATGATGATTTTGGTTTGCTTTGCTTTTTAGTTAAAAATTTTTAGTATGTCTTGGGATAAAAATATTTACCTAAAATTTAATTTTTAAAATTAATGTGTGGTGAACATGCAAGAGTGGGTTTTTAAATTGAATTTTTATTTTCTGTACACCAGATGGAATCTTTTATGTGTCTTTGTGCTGCTGTTTCCTAATTTACCAGGATGGATGAGAGCACTATTTATTGTTATTTGCTGGTGCTGGTTGGTTTTCGGAAAAAAACCAGGTGATTATGGAGTGTCACGAGCAGTTTTCCCAAATTCAAATACACAGAGTCACCTCCTTCCCAGGTGGGGCGTTGTGTGACTTGAACTTGATTCCACATGTCCCTCCTAGTGGCACAGGCCCCCTCCCGCTCCAGGCTGCATGCGGAGCAGGAGAGGACCGTGGATGAGGGGGAGGCGCTGGCTTCATGTAAGCCCTTCGGTCGATAGTTGAGGCACTAAGTCAAAGTTCTTTCCACTCCCGGTGATAGTACATGAGAGGTGGCTCGCAGTGCTGCCTCTGTTTTCTGTGACGGTGCCCAAGAGGGTCAGACAACCTGGAGCTTTCTGAGAAAGTGGCTTTTTGGTTGGTCTCAGAGGCTGCTGGGGCTTGGGAAAGAAATCGGGTGCTTCAGAACGCAGATGTTGGTCGTATATGGTTTTCTTTCCTTTTCAACCAGAGGAACCATTTTTAAAGAGTGAGAGACATAGTTGCTTTTCTTTCCCAAGACTTCTCTTCTTTTTAAAGAAAACAATATTTGGAGTGAAAGCATAAAAATAACTATGAAGGAATTCACAGCGTGGTAAAGCAAACTACCTAGGGGTGCAGCACCTGCGTGGGGCAGTTTTGTCGTTGTTGCTCTGTAGAACCAGCCTGAAAAAATAAGGCGCGTATGTGCGCAAAAGCAGCTGGGCGAAGGTTACCTAGGAAAGCAGCTGTGATCCTGTAAACTCAAATAAAATGTTAATATAGAACCGTCAGTTTTAGGGAAGTTGTTTGGATGCTTCAAAATCTTTACCTTTTAAACATATTTGTGACATGTTTTAAAAGTCTAAATGTGTTTCCTTTAGCTCTTTAAATTGTGTTTGTGGAGGGACGCTAATAATTTGGTAAATTTACCTGCTTGATTCATGGAATTATAAGAAAACGGCAAATCCCACAAAAACGAGTTCTCTTATGTTTAACATGCGTGCATTTCTTCCCTGTGCCACCAAAATTACTTTCGTTTTGCTGCAAAAAGGGGGAAAAAGTAAGTGAATGAAAATAGATAGAAAAGAAAACAATGAGAGGAACGACTAGCTCGCTTTCGGTCATTTCTTTGCTGCTGGTGCTGTGTTTTTGAGGCAAGTGAAACAGGCAGAAGCAGTTTCACTTTCTGGTTCTTGGCTCCTGGGGCTGGGGTCGCAGGGCTCCCCTCCAGCAGCAGGTGAGGCAGGCAGACCAGCTGCTGGCAAACGGGAATTCGAAAAAGTAATGACTTTTTAAAATGTTAAATAATACGTTTATTATAAAAGTTCAAGTGATGCCTCAAAGGACAGGGATAGAAGAAATTTTAACTTTTCAACTTAAATTCTTCAAGCTCTCATAAAGTGGCGGCTTTTATTTGCTTAATCTCAGTTTTGGATCTCAAATACTCCGAAGAGTTCAAAGAACACACGGCTGAAATTCCCTTAAATCAAAACAAGGAATGCTCAGAGAGAAACAACCTGTCCCAGCCTTTGGGGAGTTAGATTTTAGACGCAAGTCGGTTTACAGTTTGTGTGTCGGGTGGACACATCACACACCCGTCCTCTTGCCTCTTAAGACACGGTAGAGCCAGCCCTGGGTCAGGCAGAGGTGGGGGCCACAGCTGGGGACTCCATCCCCGGGGCCCAGGCAGAGCTCCCCCAGACGAAGCCCCCCCAGCCTGTACCCCTGGAAGCCTCAGCATCACGCTGTGCCAGGTGGGTGGGGTGCGCTTACCGCGATCCAAGCGTCCTGAAGAAAGCAGGAGGCGACACTGCCCCTTGTGGGAATGAACCACTGGGGGCTTCAGATTCCAAGGGCCTCTGGTTTTATCTGCTGCCTCTCATCTTTCCCCAGCCTTCTGCTTTTATTTCGAGATGATGTGGGAAAGAAGGGGAAAAGGTGAGGAAAGACTGTCTTCCCATCTAATTATCAAAGAGCACAGAATTTGGTCCAGCATTTTGGGGACAAGGTTTGGGAAAGAGTCCCATTTGCTGTGAGCACACATGCTTCTTCATGTGGGTGGGCAGATTTGACATTTCTAGGAATGAGTTTTGATTAAGTGCTTCCTTGGACATCTTCTTAATTCTGCGATTTCCCAAAAAGGCTAGCTTGAGCTTTGCACATTTTTAATATTTTTGTTGCCTTCAAGGGCAGACAGGTGAGGAGAGACCAGGGGATTAAAAATAGCCCCTGGGAGAAAACTCCAATGGTATGGTACATAAATAACGTAGCAGAAGCCACTACTGTGTCTAGTAAATTACTCTAAATTTTAATGAATGAGTCACAAAAGCCACACCATGAGCTTTAAAAAATTACCCCTTTATCAATAAGATGATAATGAACTTGGTCTGGAATGAGCTCTTCTCTCAGCCCAGGGCAGTGTGCAGCCTAGTAAGTTGTCTGGAATGCTGCCAATTTTAAACAATTGGTCTTTTGGCAAACTTACTGGATTTTAATTTGAACATCTATTGTGACATTTTCCAACATGCTTCAAAGACCGTTGGGATCACCCAAATCACAGTAGAATTTCTGAGATAGAGACAGTGGCTCAAATGTTCAGATTGCATTTAAATCTGTTGTTTTCTCTTTCTTTATTTTCCTTTCCTACCTTTTCCGGGCACCACCACCAAGCCTTTGCATTTGCAAGAGCGCCACGCTCCAGTCTCTGCTCTGAGCCTCTGCTAGAATCTCTGCCATAAGTCGCTGTGGCGGATCCTGCATTTGTCGATACGTGTATACCAAGTTCCAGTGCTTTGGCTGCAAGCCCACTAAGTGTTTTTTACTGTTGTTGCATTCGTCTCAGTTTTAGTTCTGGCGAAGGTTCATTCCTTAATATTTCTGCAAACTCTCACCACGGCTTGTCAGATGCCAAGATTTAGACTGAGACTCGAAGCAGAGCAGCTGCAGGCAGAAGGGCCATTTCAGACGCGCTTAGGACTGTTTTAAATTTAGCTTATTCTGACCTATACATACTAGTGTCTGGACAGGTACAGGAGCATTGGGCATTTCAGAGCAGCCTGCGTCAGAATGAACCCTCTCAGACCCCCTCTCTCTCTCTCCCT